AGTATCCGTGAATTCAGCCCAAAATGCTTCCCGCCCAAGCAATCGTGGTCCGACGGCGTCTGGTTTTCCCTTTTCACGGCACATATCCACGTTCTCAGACGAACCGAGCGCATGAAAACTGACCTTCAAACCTTTCTCGGCCCTTTGGGTACAGCCCCAGTCGCAGCATTTTGACAATAAGTCAGGTTTTTGTCTGGTTCCTTTCAAAACAGCGCAGGAATACACGTCTCAGATGGACACTTCCGCCCACAGCCCCGGACCGGAAGTGCGTCCGACGCGCCACCACCGCGCCGTGACGTAACAGAGATGAGTTCGTGTATAGCACACGTGCGTGTGTATGTGAGCGCTGGCGTATAGGCGAGTTGGGAGGGGCGGACTTGAAGAACTTAGGGGGATATACGGAGACCCAGCCATAACACCGACACATTGAAGTGCATCCAATTGATTTTTTTTTCTTTGGAAGGTAAAACGCGAAGGATGTGACGACAATAGACCAAATGCGGCGGGCCCAACAGAAAAGGGCGCTTTGAGAATGGCCCTTGAGAGAAAGTCCAAACCAGAAGGTCGAAACGAGAATGGGCCCAAATCATAACTGCCCCACTCTCCGTACGTCGGGAAAAACTGCGACTAAAATTTTTATTCTCAATAGCTAAAAATAAAACAGGACTAAATAGCGAGAGTTACTTCAAACAACCCTATTATGACTCTAGTCGTAATGATCACAGTCTTAAAATTAGAGAGTACCGCGCTATGGCATGCATGTTCGCGAATTCCTTTCTTGTTCGAACGATTGTACAGTGGAATCGGCTGTCTGAATAGCAAGTGTGCTGTTTGAATGAAAATGTGTTCTTTTCATCCTTATAAACCCCCCTGCTGTAACGCCCTTGGGCACTGCGGGGTAATTATTGAATAAAAAAAATAAAGAACACAAAAGGACTAAGTCTGTACATTTCAAGCGCCACAGTATCTGTCACACAATGCAAGAATGTTGAAAAACCTTACAGGTCGACGCGATAAGGCAACATCCATCCTCCTTCAAACTTCAACAAAAGTATCTCTTCCCCTTTGTGAGAGTGGTCTCAACGTTTCTACAACGAGTGTTGCGTTAAGCATGCTTAGAGAAGTCGCTATCTTTTAGAAATTCAAATTAATTGATTGATATTTTGGAGACTCATCATGGGAGGCGTAGCTCGGTGTTATCGATGGATACTAAGGGCTTACGCCGTTCCCTAGAAAAGACTCGGTTAAAGCATAGAGTGTGGGAGGCATTGGAGATGCATCTCGTTAAGTTCCAATCGGGCTCAGGTATATCGGTGGAAAGTTTCTTAACAATTCTGGAGTTTTATCAAAAGTCAACGGTAATGGAGTACGAAGGAAGGAAGTATATACAAAAAGGTGTTTGTATAGGGTCATCAGTCGCGCCGATTTTAGTCGAAGTTAACTTAAACTCTTCGGATCATGCACTGCACGATAATCTACAGGAGTTGTCCTCGCGTGTATGGCAATAGTGAGTAGATTTGTAGATGACATCCTAGTATGTACGTACGTTTATGGAAGGTCTATCAGAAAGCGTACAAGGTGTGATGATGTCAACGGCTCCAGAATTAAAGTTTTGCAGTGGAAAAATAGGAGGAAGATGTTCTGCAGTTTTCTAGATTTACGTATTCACGTAAATCGAGGGCTATGTTTAGAATACGTAGAAGAAAATTCAAAACCGGTTTTGCCAAGAGTGAGTTGTCATTCGAAGACCACAAAGGCTGGGATTGTAACGTCATTTGTCAGGAACACGTTAGAAAGGTCGCGTTTCTATTATATCTCTGAATCGGCATAAAGGCAGTGGGAAAGGATTATTAGTGTAGGATACAATGACAGTTTTATCAAACGGCAAGTAGAATTGTTTATCAAAGGCAGAAGAGAAACGGAACAGAATTCAAGGAAACGCTTTGCTGTAATCCCATATTTTCAAGAGATTTCTCACAACCTGAAGGCATGTGCGAGGCAGTTTGGAGTGGACACGGTCTTTATTTCCAATTTTAGGTTAAGTAAGTTGACGCCATATCAGACAAGTGTGAGTGAGTGCAAAAAGGCCCATCAGGAAAAATCGGTATGTTTCGAAAATGGTATATTGAAAAAACTACCATTGGAATGTGGGTTTAAGTATGTAAGACAAACGTTACGCTGCATCATTGACAGATTAAACGAACATTAAAGAAATGTGAAGAACATTGCACAAAACTAGGAAATCGCAAAACATATTCATGAATGTAACAACTGCACTGTGGTCAGGTCGGAGACAGAAATCATAAACACAGAGAGGAACGATGTAAAGAGAGGAGTGAGGGATTCTGCGCGGATAAAATATCTTGGTAACTGTATAAGTCAGACTTCACTACAGTTCGGAAGCAATTCAAACATCTTTCGAAAAATGTAATGTTGATTTTTTTTTTAAAGTGTGATTTGGGTTGTTTGAAGTATGACCCTGATTGTGATTTTCCAAAAAAACTCACAGCTTTTTTTTTTTTTGGGGGGGGGGGGGGGGGGTGGTTTGGCGTGTGATGGCCCAAAAATCTTTTTGACGCATTTTTTTTTTTTTTTTAGCTGCGGGAGGGCGTTTTTTTTTTTTAATTGGAAGTGGAAACTGTGTTTAGAATAGAAGGAGAAGAGATAATTTTGTTCAAGTTTCAAGGAGAATGGATCTTGCCTTATCGCGTCGACCTGTAAGGTTGTCTACATTCTTGCATTGTGTGTTGGAGACTTTGGCGCTTGAACTGTATAGACTTCGTTTTTTTTTTTTTTTTTGTGTGTGTGTTGGTGGGGATGACCTGAGATTGAGGCTATATAAGGAGAGGAACTAAACAAAGGAGTTAGCTGAGTTTGAGACGTCACCCTGTCTGTCTTGTCTCTTCCACGTTTTGATGTTTCTTCTCTATCCCAGTCTCAGGTTAATTTAATATCAATGAGGAAATATCAATGAGGAAAATATAAGTAAATAATCCTATAGATCATTATTTAAATACCACATTGAAAGTTAGAGTAAACATTAAAAAAGAAGAATACAAGGTTCCGTGGATATATAGTTTATTTATAAATCCAATATTTATATAATTATGATATTGCACAATAATTGGGACCCAGAAAACTCAATTGGCTTCAATCAAACCGCATAGAAACTTTGGCGTGTTCCAAAAGGCAGAAGTCTAATGAGAATGACAGAACTGATGCTGACAATTTGCGATATATTCGCCACAGGACATTAAGCACAAGGTACACATGGCAACGTGAAGGAATTTAATATATGTAGTTACACAGGTGTGAAACGGAAGACAAATAATAACAATAATATTAATATTATTATTATTAATTGTTTATTATTGCGTGCTTCAGAACGACCGAAGTCTTCATATGGTGATGACGCTGTTCAATGAATAATTATGACGAGAGGACACAGTTTACGATAAGCAGTTTTCTTTCGTTTTCTCTCGTATCTTCATTTACGCGGTTGGTCTGTGTTTCTTTACGCGCGTTTAGTTTTGCGCCTGGTGGACCTGCTGCAAGCGGCTCCATTGGAAGAACCGCGGCCAGCCGAGGGCCTGTCAAAAGACCTTTGTGGGGCGGATTTGGCCCACGGGTCGGGGTTCGGAGACCTCTGGAGCCCTAAACTCCTCAAACACAAAGTTGGAACCGAAAGTTCCCGGTCCGCCCCGATTGGACATAGGCGAAAAAAGCGCCAAGTCATCGTCGTGATGGGTCAATCGGTGCGCTTCGTCAACTGCGATCCCAACTTTGTGATCGCTGAGTTTAGAGGCTCTGGTCTAGAGCGCGCTGTTCACGTTGCTTACAAGAGCCCGCTAACTCGTATATTCCAAGAAACGCCCGCGCGTGTACTTACCCGCAGACCGCTCAACGAGCCAATCTCTGTGATATAGGAAATCAGCTCAGCGAATGATGAGGCGGAACATCCGTTTAGACCAAAAAGATGAAGTCTGCACTGTGGCATCACGCAATGCAAAGCGTCGTGCTTGCATTGCGTAATGCCACAGCGCACACTTCATTTTGAGCTCTGAACAGATATTCCGCCTCAATATTCGCTGAGCTGATTTCCTATATCACAGGGATGGGCTTTTGGGTGTTCTGCGAGTAAGTAGACGCGCAGGCATTTCTTAGAGTGTAGAAAGGTCTACACGTTTCTATGATAGGATGGCTGAGTGATCAAAACCGACTACGGCTGGAGGTCACTTACTCTCCTACTGAGCACATTTAGGACGGAATCTTGTTTTCGAACAAGCCACGGTAATTGGTCGGGGCAGATAAGATAGCGAGAAAATCAATAGAGGCTGACACGTGAACAAAGGAAGATGGATATTGCTGTGCGAACCAAGCTTCGGTCCAAGTGCGTAGTAAATCAATAGCTTGTTTTGACGCGTGACAACTGACTAAATCATTGTTGCTGTATTGTTTTGTTTCTTTTACGAAATGCTTATCTGAGAGTTAGAGCTTCTGTTTAGCTTCGTATTCTCTGTTCTCATTCATTACGCTGTGTTATGCGTTTCTTTTTTTTTTTTTGTGCTTAACGCCTTCATGCAAAACGCACGAAAACAAATACTTAGAACTAACCTTTATGTCATGCAAAAGGTATAAGTAATTTTCTTTTCAATTCTTATTGAGAGAATCGTGACCCTCGGATAGCCGGAGTTGAATGGCATCAGGAAACGTAAACGGGACCCATTTTTCTCTCGAAAATTTCTGGAAATCGCTTAATTTTTGAGCGAGACAACTGGTAGTTTTGAAACGATTTTTATTTGGTTCGGACCGCTGGCGCTATATTTGGCCGGTAAATTACCGTACGGCAAATGATTTTTTTTTTTTAACGGCAAAACTTTTATTCTTTTTTAGCGGTGTTACATATAGGAATGAATAGATTAAAAACACCACTGCTTAAGCTCTTTGTTTTCGAAAAGGCAGCGTTTGTTGACAGGAATGTCTCTCGCACCGCAACGCAGATGATGCCTCATATCAGCGGGCAGGCTGACGTTCTTCTCGACCACCTGGGGGAAGTGTCCGACCTCGGGAGAGAGCTGTCCACGTTCGACACGTTTCAGGCTTTGGCAATGGACAACGTAGGCCGGATCTTCTTTGGACTGAACAGCACATTTCAGCACAACGTCCACGATGCCTTCATTTCTAAGGCCTTCAACGTTATACCCCAAATGATGACCGGGCCCTTCCATTTCATTGCACGTAAGAATTACCCGTCTGCCGCTGATTCAGAATGAGACTTTTGCTAGCGTAAATATAAGTGTTCAAAACATGTCAGCTAAACAATACTGACACTATATCTACACTACAGTCGTTGAAAGCTTAGGAAATGTGGAACGTGGCCCCTTTTGTCCTTGCTTCTTTTTTCATGATTCATTTGTGGGCGTTTTTATGGGCGAACGCAGCAATCTCATTGGCTGTGGAATGATAATGAGATGCATTGAACTCGCCACAATCTTACTGTATCTTCCTGTGCATAAGATGCACTTTTTTTTCCAAAATTTTCTGTGGTGCGTCTTATATAACGGCACGCCTTATACGTATTTTTTTTTTCTTTTTGGCAAACTCTGAAGGAACTTCTGTTGACGCTGATTAGTATTTTTTTTAACTATGAAGACAACTCAATGCAAATGATGCTTCATAAATGCAAGTCAAGCCCCAGAACTAGAGGTCCTTAACAAAAAAAAAAGAGTGTCAAGAAAACGAAAAGAAACAAAGAAAACACGTCGCTTTGCGAGTTCTGAAGTCACAGAGGCTGCGCGAGCCTCAGAAGCCGCAAGCGGTGAGCTATTTCCCGCGATATAGGTGCGTCTTATACACAGGTGGCATCTAATATGCTCATTTTTACTTAGAAACTTGTGAAAAGTTGTGGGTACGTCTTATACAACGATGCGTCTTATATACCGGAAAATACGTAGTTCCTTAAGCTCTGGGTGACTGCAGTTTAGCTTAACGACGACTAGAAAATACACTGTCAAATGTTTCTCATGGTAATTCGTGAAACTGGTTTTCAAAAATATGTATTTGATATTCATACCTGGTGTTTACTCTCAGAGTAAGAGTTTAAGTTAAAATAGCACTTAACGTAAAAAAAAAAAAAAAAAAAAAAAACTTTATTTTTAGTTTTATTTTTTTATTTTTTTTTATTTGGGGGGGGGGGGGGGGGGGGGAACTGAGGTATCGACATTGCTGAAGGTCAGAGTACGAGTACGATGCCTGGAACACGAAGTGGCAACGAATGACGTCACAAAAGCCGCAGTGTCATGCTCTCGGATGTTGCGAACCTGGTGGCAGTTGCTATACTCGGCGACAACTTTTCTTGGCAATGCAGTGGAAGGTACGTCCCGCGTCCCCTCTCCCATTTTGAGTGTACGCAGGCTTTCCTCCTCTTGCGTACACTGAAAATGGGAGAGGGGACGCGGGACGTACCTTCCACCGCATTGCCAAGAAAAGTTGTCGCGGAGTATAGAAACCCCGGTAAAAAAGTAGGAAGGAACGCGAGTGTCGCTATCGTCGCGGCGTCCCAACTCCTGTCTGTCGGAGCTTCCGTCGACTGTCAATCTGAAGAGCGATCTGCAGAAGAACAGGCGTCCGCCACATACACCACCGCTGCTGTAACACCGCCAGGATTGCGGCAGGCCACACCATGATACTTCTATGACGTCATCAGGGGGAAATCGAGGCGCCACTTTTTAGGACACGGTAAACGGAACAATCGGAGACACGTTCCAGACACCATACATCCACGTGTGTGCCAAGGGAGAATAAATAAACTAATTTCTCTAAATAAACAAGTTAACTCTTTAAGTAGCCGTCTTCTCAGGCGTGTTCCAATGAGGATGTGTTTTTTATAGTAAAAATAGATTAGTGTTCTTGCTATGTTTTTTTTTTTTACTTTATTTTTTTTTTTTTTTTTGCCAAGCCAATTGATGGCACTTTTTCAGCGCAGAAAGTAAGGTTGTATTCAACGCATCATGCCTAAACTGAAATCAAAATGAGATCTTATACGAGTAATTGGTGACGTTAAAGCGTAACTGCCGTTTGGCGGCGTCGAGGTGGCCTCGGATGACACTCCGCTGCGAGATTGTCGGACTCTGACGACACAAGCTGCTGGAACTCATTTAGCTATTTTAATGTTTAGTTTTGGTAGAAGTGTTCCTTTACACATCAAAACGTACTTTGGATTTCTCAACTATAGGAACGGCTATTTTTCGTTTGGACCAAGATCAAAAAAGCTCAAATGGATTGTCCCAGCTAATGCAAACATTTAATAAAAATATAACTACGGAGTTTTAGTTACTAACTCCTCAAATTGTATTATTACAGTATTCCCCGAACATCCGCCGCTACGGATACCTTTATTCCGAAGGAATGCATTTTTGGAACCATTTCAATTGTTTTTCAGGCATTCTTTTATCTTTCCTAAATAGCTGTTTCGGAGACATGTATTTTTTTTTTATATTATTCTTTTTTTTTTTTTAGATTGCACGACTTCTTTTGGAAAAATCATGAAGCCACTCTTCTGGTTGAACAGACTATTAGGAACATTCGCCATTGAAGAGTTTTCTCGCGATATCGTCAAGATAGTGGAGCAGAGAAGAAACAACCCTTCGGTAAGCACCTAAATATGCAGGCACAATACAATGCCTTTCAAATCCAAAACTTTTTTTTTTATAAGGGATGTGAATGGAACCATAGAACATACCAGAAATATCGACAGACAACCGAAACTTTTTTTAAATGTATTCTGTTGCAGTGTAGAGGTTACTTCATACTTTTTACAAATTGTTATTTTATAGAAAAATATTTGTTCACTCTTTTATACACACTCTGCTAAACTTATCAAAATAACAAGTGTAGACATTACAAAATTAATGTTTTTCTATAGCAATCCCTTGACTTTACCTTACTCCACGCACCACCTCATGCACAATATTACCGCGTGCGTGCGCGAGATGGCGGCGCGCACGGCTGCCACAAGGTGGGCAGAGGGTTAGAACCCCCCCTTGTCAGATATGCATTTTACCCTTGATATTCCTCTGGGGCATTGCATGTTCGTGCTTGCCATCCCAGCATCAAGTGCATCAACGGAGAAAAATTTATCATTAGTGGTTAGTAATTTTAAAAAGGCGAACCAGTCTAAATCCGTCCATGTTGACGACACTCTGTTTCTTCAGGAACCTCAACATATATGTGCGTTTTCTTCTTTTTCGACAGTTGGCACTGAGTTGTTTTTAAGCACATGGTTCCGAGCACGTAGTTGAGGGTTTATGTTTAAAACTGGAATCGATAGGAGTTGTTGCCATTTTTAATATTGTTATATTTTCCCAGCAGTGTGTTCGCGCCTTACCACTTACACACGATTACTTTGCTGCGGCGAGTGAGCGCCTTTACTCTCCCACTTTTTCATTGCTTGGCCTAAATAAAATAACGCAATGTTATTAGTCGGTCCCTCATTAATTTCTATGTTCATAAAATATGCGTCCGCTTGAAAAGCGTGCGGTTCGCTACGATTACGTCTACGGCATCGCTCGCTTCGTCGGACTATTCAACACTGATAGCAGCGGCAATGAGTGATTGTTATCAAAAATGTTGGAAGCTGGTCATTTTGACTATCACCCGCTGGTGACCAGCTACAGCCATGACGAGATCACCACGGTCAAACTCGCCGTGGTCGCCGTCGTTTGCGACGATCTCGCACGTGCATGGAGGGTGGAAGCTCAAAGGGTCGGGTGCGAGAGTAGCCTTGGAGTAGCCGAGTTGCGTGAGAGGTTTAGGTCGTACCGTGGCCAGGAAAACTAGGGCGAGCATGGGGCGCCTAGAATGAGAGTGCGTTCATGATCACGTGGTTTACGGTTGCCATGGTGTGACTAACTTGGGCAGTGTTGCCTGATCGCCAGATCAAAATTATCAACATTCGTAACTTTAATTTCGCCACTACTAGAGCTCTAAAAATCGCGAAACTTTGTGCTAAGAAGCATTCCATTTCAAGAATAATCTACCCGTTTAAAGTAAGCACGATACATTTTATCTTTTTAGGTTGACTGATTAGTGATCAGAATAAGCCCGACACGAAGTCAGAGCACGACGCACATCTCAGTTCTTGATCGCATGTGTTGATGCTGACAGAACATAAATTCAGAAATCCGAAATGTTTTTTTTTTTTTTTTTTAATCTTGTATATAGTTCTTTTCCCTCAAACAAATTGCCACATGTTCGCTACATGTCGGCAGCAGTGGAGAAAGCTTTTTTTTTTATATATATATAACAAGAGCGAATTTTTTGGACTTTTGTTATCAAATCTTGAAGAAAAGACAATAAAACATAGCAAATGGCTGCTTATTTTGCCCAGCTTCGAAGAAACGACGTGCTCCAGTGCCTTCTCGATGCTGAAGTAAGACCGGATGATAAAAGCAATAACAAATCAGCGAACAACGTCGCCATCGAAACCAAAGGTACTTCCTGGTATCGTTATGTTTCTAGGGTTAATCTTGTCTTCGCCACTCAAGTAGGAACGATTGTAACTAACGAAGCATTTTTATTATTATATGAGATATTCGGCTTCTCTGTCTAAGAAATGTTTCTGACGGGTTGTAACATAAAAATGCAAGAAAGGTGTAAGGCGATTAAGAAACATCTCTGCATATTTTAAAAAAAAAATCTGATCAGAAAAGACTTTTGTTGATGCGCTCAAGGACGAAATATTTCATTTTGAACAGGCGGTATCAGAAGGCTTCCAAACCTGACAGAAGAAGAAACAACACTACATGCAACACTTCTCTTTCTTGGAAGGTAAGTTCACCAGGCAAGAGTGCTGCAATTTTACATACTTTTTTTTATTCTAGAAATATCTAAATGCATGTAACCTTTATCACGTTTCAGTTCCTTCTCTGCTGAAAATATTATTTGATTAAAAATCAGGGCTACGGTTCGTTTCTTAATATTTAGGCTTGTTCCAGATAGCAGGTGTACCCCAGACATGCGAATTAGAGACTCTATAGAACCCAGTAACTCCCGGACCCGTTGTAACAATGATTCTTGAATAGATAAGACTCCGTCAAAAAAGGACTAATATGGCTACCGACCAAGTCGTGAACTACGAAATTTGATGACCGGAATAAACATTTCTGACAGGGAAAGTAAAAAGAAAAGCCCACATTCCTTTAACGTTTTAGAGGAAAAGAAAAACTGTCGAACATTTCAAAAAAGAGTATTTGCAGAAATGAAAATGCATGCTGCTTCCTCTACAGGTATGCTGTTGCAATTTGAAACACTCGTTTGCTAGTTTTTCGCCTCTGCTGTTGATGATGAGATCGTTTATAAGAGGTAGAGACAACTGGCCCCAGAGAAAATCGTTCTCCAGTGGACTGTATCCTTGAGCTCCTGCTATTTACCCATATATTTAAGTAAATCTCTACTATAATCCTTTGCAACTTCCATTCAACAATAAATATGCAGCAGGTATCACCTATGTTGGTCAATAGACGGAGAGGACATGTATACCTAAAACAAAAACTTTTTTTTAATTACGCATGTGCCAGATTAATATTTTTCCTGTCTGACGATTTCTCCAGCATGTTGTTACCGTTGACAACTTTATTATAAATTTGATGTGAACGTAATGGGAGTACAATGAGGATCTGACTAAGTTTATTTATCTGTTGCAGTTTTCAAACTATATCAATATCACTTTCGTATACAACTTACCTTTTGGCTAAGCATCCTGACGTTCAAGAGAAAGTGAGAAAGGAAGTGAACGAGTCAGTTGCAAAATCGGTAAGTACTGAATTCTTCTCCTTGTTACCCAAAACTCGACTCAATCGTTATGCTATTATGCTATTATTATCCTTACTGTGTAAATATTCCAAACATATATAAACAATCTAAATGCTGAGGGCATGTAAAGGAAACACAAATTAAACTACTGTACTACTACAAAATAGCTAATTATGAAAGATAACACTAATCATACTGTGAGGGTGTGATAAGTCTTATGAAGTCTTTATACCACAGGGCTGTCTTGATTATGACACGGTGATGCACAAACTAAAGTACCTTGGACAAGCGTTGGATGAAACTCTCCGAATATTCCCGCCGTCCCTCGCGTAAGTCCAACCTGCAAAAGACGTTTATTGCCGCTTCCGGGACTTTTCTACCCCCAGATCGTGAACACGCTTCTGTGGCATTCTGACTGTATAATGAATCCTGTTGCTGTATCCCGGTTTTCATATGGTCCCAGTCCCCCTTTTAGAACCCTGTAGAATTCGCTCTGCAAAATCTCTCTTCTTAAGTGAAGTGCCTGCCCCACCGGTGTGCTGCGTCGCATTCCTGCGCAATGATGTTACATCAGCTGCGCTTTCTTTCATAATCAGGCACCATTACCATCCACCACTGCTTAGGACACCCATGGTAACGACGACGATCAGGCACCGTTGATCGGTTGGCATTACGAGACATATAAGGACTGTGATATTCGAACTGTTCCAGGTTTTTAGCGATTCCTGATTAACGCAAACTAGAACGAGTTATATATTGGGTGCTCTTTCTTGAGTCACCTGTTAAGAAATCATCAATTTGTCCCTGGGAACGGTTCAACCAATATATTCTACATATAAGGCATTTGTTGCTTGGTCATGACGGGACATTAACAAGTCCCCCGAAGACATTGAGTATGGCACCACCTTGAGCCAACCTTCACGATTCCTGACTTGAGCAATTGAGTGCTGAGGCCTTGGTCAGCTACCCTAGTTACTGAAAAGGAGGCCGGTCTTGTTGTCAACCACATTGTAGAACTCACTGTCGCTTGGACGTACAGACGAATGCAGCCTCATGAGAGCTCTAGCTATACACAAGAACGCCACAACCTTGATCACGACCTTGATTTGGAGGCAGAGTCACGTGGCTGGTTGTCTCTTCACAGATGAGTTACGAATTGCGTGTATGGGGGTTGAGCACTTCGACTGTGGTGGAATGATCCACCACACAACCGGCGAGTAAAAGATATGCAGTAAACAAATTGTTCCAAGTAAGAAAACGCAGTAAAACAGCCACCGCAAACGTCCCAGCTTTGCGCTATTCACGTCTCAAGTAGCATGCGTAGTTCTAAAGTTAAATAAAAGTATATATACTGATTTCAGTCGTATGAGTACTAAAAAAATGGTCTGCGTGCTCAGTCATAATGTCGCACATGAGACTATGATACGGAAAAATTAAGAAACGTTCAAGCCGAAAAAAAGACAACAGTAGAGAAAAAACGTGTCAAACGCAACTCAAATAATTTAGTTTTCTCGCTCGTTATATACACCAGATGTCGACGTCACCGACCTATTCACAGATACACTCGTTAAAGACACAACAACCAAATGACCACTTAACAGCAGGAGCTTCATACCGGTACTTTCGATGAATGGATCTTTCAATGAAAAACTTTCGATGATGGGTCATTCGTCGAAACAGTACAAATGTTTTCACAGTGGTTATGACCTTGAGACTTTCTTTCACAATGAACAACAACACTTTCTACAAAAATGAAAAAACAAATTTGGAGGACAGATGAAAATACAGGAACATGCCGACCTGGTACATATTATAATTGATTATCACCAGCTCGTCTGTACACTCACTGTTATTCTTCTTTCAGTTTTATGACAAGAGTGGCCAAAAATGATTTTGAGTATAATGGCATAAAATTCAAGGCAGGTGTGAGCATTATATCCCCAGTGCTTCAAGTACACATGGATCCGAGGTACTGGCCAGAACCCCACAAGTTCGACCCTGATCGGTAATGTATTTGAGCAATTTGTCATTGATGCTACATATTAAAAGCTTCTCTTAAAAGGCACATCTGTCTGGTCGGATGTAAATCTCGAGTAGGTTATAACAATGTTTATTGAGAAAAAAAAAAGGAAACTTTAACAGTAGTTCAATGGAGAAATCTATGCCCATATTTAACAACTGTACATTGAATTAAACTGCGTTTCCGACAGCAGAAATGCCATATCGGCAAGTACAAACAATCAAAGAGCATATGTTGGATGCACCTTAATATGTGCATTATAATTTGGTTTAATTTATTCCGCTTTAGTCAATTTAAAGGAGTTGTGCAAAGATTTTAACGTTGAAAAAATTTGCATCTTCTACTTTTGACATTGTTTACCTTGTCACAAACGACAGAAACCACATCTCCTTCCTTCAAAATGTTGAGATTCCGCCGCGTAATCGCGGGGCAAAAATTAGAATATTTCCCGACCTGAAGCCGCGAGCAGCAGCCATGAGAACCACGCGGCATGACGTCAATGGGGGACTTATAAAGAAATAGCAAGTTGTGCAAATACCTGCTCGATGAAAGGGAATTTTTCTAGAATTACTGTCGTTCGAACATAAATATAAATGCGTCAAAAACCTGGTATCATCGACAAAACTTTCATTATCCGGAGTTTCAGCGGCGCCATCAATCCGAGGTCAACAAAACCGGCAGCTTTATCTGCTACCGCGAGCAGCCGCCAGAAGCCGGAGGGGGACGGGGGCAGAGCCGGACGGGGATGGCCGCCGGACCCGGGCGTTGGCACTTTCCTCCTTTCGCCATGTTGATCGCGCTGGCTGAGCAAGCACGTGGTCACGAACGCGTGAGTTCTCGCTGCTCACTGATGGCTCTAGAGAGAGAGCTTCACCGGAACCCCGCGCGTCCCCCATTCATGTCCCAGCGCACGTGACTCGGAAGATGGTGAAGGAGTTAAAAGGTGCCGAAAACCTCAATCTTTGTCAATTTTTACAATGAAAACTAGGACATGCAGGTAAAGTCGATTTTTTTTTTTGTGCTTTACTTCAGAAAGGTTGAGACAGCAACTCCCAAATTATTTAAGCAAAGCACTGAAATTGTTGCACAGCTCCTTTAACAATTATCGTCGTCACTTCTGATTGTAACAGTCATTGCGACTTTTTCAGTAATTCAAATGTCGACCAAAAATTGTTTACTATTCAAGAAATGATTCAATGTGCCTATTTGTGACGGTCAGAAGAGTGAACAAACGACTCAACAGATAAATACTCGATTTATGTTCCCGCGTCGTTTCTTGCTTTATTTGTTTGTACACATACGCCCTAACCCTATTTGTTGAATTACAGATGCCCCAATGCATAAAATACGAAACTTTTAGCATAACTGTATGTGTACAAGGCAGCTGATACCAATTTTTACGACAATAATAGCTTAACTTATAGACAAACTACCTGTTTTGGAAAGCGAAAAAAAGTCACTCTGTGGCACGAATGCGTGGTTATGTATACCCCTTTTTTTATTGCATCAACGCAGTACGTTTGAGAAGCAAAAGCACAATGCACGCATATGGTACAGTGGTGTTCTCCTTCCCCTAGTGGCTTCCCAGCAAGTACGCTATAGAAACAACTTTGGTCTCAAGCTGGTCAATAATAAGAACCTAACTTGCGCTATATCACGGTTCCGCCCCAAGTCGTTAGTTAGTGTCAACAATACATTTCTTTGGTACTTATATGCGGAGTGTAAGTTCGTCTGCTTCATGCACAAGGGTTACGATGATGTCAGAACGTCGAGCTCTTACTGGCTGATTTAAAAGAATTGGGGGTAGACCTCCAAGCAACTAGCACTGACGTCCACCTACTATCCATTCAATCAAAGCGAATCAAAACTCGGCGGTGTTCTGACGTGATCGGAACTCCTACGCAAGAAGCGTACGACTTTCTCCCCGCATTGCTTTTCTCTAGCTGGCCACATAATTTACATAGTACCAGACATGAACCAGAGATGCTACGTATCAACCGAATAACCAGCAGTAAAACCTTCATGTGGCAATCGTTTGGTATATGCCCCAAATTGACATTTGAAAACCGTACGGCCATAGCCTAACCGCTCATTCACACTGGAAGCGGATCCGCGTTCGCAATGCGGTTTGGAACGCGGTTGTATAAAGATCCAGTACAATTGCACGCGCACTCGATGACATCAAGTACGCGTGCAATTGTACTGGATCTTTATACAACCGCGTTCGCAACCGCTTTGCGAATGCGGATCCGCTTCCAGTGTGAATGAGCGGTAACTCTGACACGTGTTGGCAAGTTAGGCCTAGACATGCCAAATGACATACAAACTATCAGGAGTGAAACCTAACATTTGCACTTGTTTGCCAAGTTGGGGCCAAAATACGCAGAATACGGCCTAAGAAGGTCAAGCTTGGCTCTACCACGGCTTTTTCTGGCCTTTTATTGCCCTAGATTACCAGACAAAAAAAAAGAAAGACGTTTAGAAATATCTGTAATGCAAAATTAGAGCGCAGCTCTTGAGGAGGAGGGGAGCGCATGCTCCTCCTCCTCCTCCTCCGTACTCTATCCTCCTCCTCTCCTCTCCTCCTCCTTCTCCTCCTTCTTTACCCCCTTCTCTCCCCTCCTCATCCAAGTCAGTTTCCCCGCTAAATTAAAGGGGGGGGTGGGGAATGACGTCACATTACTTGGTGTCAAGTCACCTATGAACCAATTCAATTTCTACGCTAGATTTAGCGGAAAAATTACGTCACGTGACCTCAACACCAATTCAGTTCCCCGCTAAATTTAGTGGGGAATTGAATTGATGATGAGGTCACGTGACGTCAATTTTTCCTCTAAATTTATCGCGGTTACGCCGACGCCGACCATCCCGGAAACGGGCGCCCAAGAGCTGCGCTTTAAAAACAAATTTTGGGCCAAATGCACTCTGCTACCTGGGTTGACACGCATTAATCTGCTTCACTCATGTATCGACCGAACTTAATCTTATCAATATTTTCAGGTTCAGCCCAGAAAATATAGAAAACGTCCACAAGATGGCGTTCCAGCCTTTTGGCCACGGACCCCGCAGTTGCGTCGGATTCATGATGGCCGTTCTCGAAAATCGCTACACCCTCGCAAGAATGGTTCAAAGCTTTCGATTTGAGCTCGGTGAAACTCAGAAGGTAGTCGTCATTTTTAATGTCGTACAATCCAATCTTGGAAAAATATATATATATATATACCACGGTCTTTAAAGGTAACCTGATGCATCATAAAAAGTTTTAAAAAAATAATGTTTTCATAAAAATATACAGATCATTTATCGACGACATTCGAGGTGCTTCCGCCATTCCCATTGGTTAGCCTAATGTATCCCTTGAAAAGGGGCTTTCGAAGATCGTGCACTTCAGCTAGTTTGTGAAGCATAAATACGAGTGTTTGTGTGTGCTTTTCTGCCTCAAAAAGAATACAGTAAAATCCCGAGCAATGCCCCAGCTACGGAAAAATAACACACCCGTTCTTTTTTTTTTTTTTTTTTGGCTTGCGTTGCTATTTTGTTTTAAACACCAAAATATAGCCTACTCCTAGTGATCGTAGTGTTCGGATCAATGATGATCTTGGCGTTAATCCGTCTAGTTATCTATGGCGAGGTATAAGCGAACATTCCTGACTGGGAAGTACAGTCATCTTTCATTCATTGCTCCTCGTCGTGATAGCATGATTGACAGACACACATAATCTAAAAATAGCATTTGTTCAACTTTTCTTGATTGCACACCGAAAGTTGGCCGGCTTATTATTTTTATTCAAATTTCTCTCGGTTTTAGATGGGCTATCTATCGGGGCTTTACGTTATATAAAAGCCAATAAACGAATCATAAATATATTGTTTCCAAATGTGTCCTTGTCGGGCGTATTTATCATACGCAAATTGTGTGAGTTTAGAATTCTGGAAACAAATGGAAAAGAAAACGTATTCATATGTACGCGAATGAAAAACCGGACAGGAAACAGCCTGGTTGAATCCGATACTCACAGAAGGTGCCACACACGCCCAGATGTGCTGAATCTCCTTTCCGACGTTCATCTCCAGTAAAGTGTCAAGCTTTCGTTACATGTGGCGTCTTCTGTGAGTAGCGGCATGACAAATACTTTAAACAGCTGCCAGTATATTTTTTTTCTTTTCTTTTTTTTGCTGCGCATACAAACAACAGCTTTGTCTTTTTGTTTAGCACGTGTTTCTAGCAGTCCACAACTGCAATATTTGAGTATGAGTACCTAAAGAGCAGTTTGTAGAAAGTGTCATTGCGCTCCATTAATTGTTTTATTTATGCCGCTTAAATTGTAGCACTCGCGAACAGATCGCAGAAGAGCTCAAAGCACAGAGATAACGGAACTTGTCCATTCGTTATCTGCCGCTTCTATTGTTCCCAGTTGTTCACCATGAAGGGTGAAGTAGATGAAGGCCAATTATGCTGGACCAACAGCGCCTAGAAGGCCTGCGCATGACGTGATCGATAGTGGATCCCGCTTCGTGACGCTCAAGCTCGACGAGGGACGCCGCAAAGCGGCGAGCGCATCCGTCATGACGTCGCAGCGAGCTATGCGGACAGAAAGTCGTCTGCTTCTTGCGTAGAAGTTCCGGTGACGTCAGAACGACGCCGAGCTCTGATTGGCCGACTGAAAAAATAGTGGGTTAATCTCAATGCTAGATGCTTCGAGGTCTGCCCACTATTTTTTTCAGTCAGCCAATAAGGGTTCGGCGTCCTTCTGACGTCACCGCCACTCCTGCGCGAGAAGCAGACGACTTGCTCTCCGCATAGCGGCGAACTCCATGTGAGACGTTGCATGACGCGCTGGCGGAAATACTGACGCAAAGCGGCGCTGCATGAGGGACACCAGTGATAAAGTTTGGAGGAAAAACCTGTCTTCTTGGTGACATTATCGCGACCCGACCGGCTGTCTCTCGTAATTTAACGATTATCTCAAACTGAAGATCCACCTAACTAGGTCGTGCTGACTTATTACGGAAACAATAATATCAGACATTGTTCGGATATATTTTAACGTAGATAAGCTAAAGTCACCCACATGTTAAGAATAGCGGGGCATAAATTCTTGCTTTGTAATTGGTTCCGCGGCCTTTTTATAAGCTCATTCAGCAATCTCATTGACTGCGGAGTTAGAATAACTAAAATTCGCAGATCTCGCCCCACCCTGCCTTTAGCTTTGGTGGTCAGTGACTATGGTGCCTAGATTAGGTTTGACGTGTTTCGAATGAGAGGCGTATTACTTTGATATTGCCTTTAGTGTAAACCACTGTTTAAAAAAAAGAAAGAAACTATATCCACCACACACGGCCTTCAATTTTAAAATATCCAGTGCGTCTACTTCCCCGCAAAACTCAGGAAAAGAGTACGACGAACGACGAAACTCCGAATAGACTTCTAAGGAACCAGTCTGCACTGCGATACTGAGCATGAAGTTTCTGTGTTTGCATTATACTCAGTGTCACAGTATGGACTGTTTTATTTTGAAGTCTAAATAAATCGCGAGCCGTGTTTTTTGCTCACCGCCCTCTCTAGATACCAGCAATTTGCTTTCCCAAGTGCTTTGCAGTAAAGTAGACGAACGGCGTCTTAGGGTGTTGTTACGTATTCAAATTTCCGTAGCCTTCTTTAAAACAAATAGTAAAAAAAAAAGTTTGATAACAACAAAGGGGGTTAAGCTGTTGGTGAGCTCGCATTCCAAGGCTGACGTCGCCGAAAAAAAAACTTTGCGAGCTAAATGATGGTGTAATATTTACGTTTTTTCGCAGGGGATGTTGGACATGGATCCATATGGCATGATGTCTACGCCAGCGAACGGCCCGTGGATTAAGTTTCACAAACTCTAAACGTCAAGAGCTGAAATATTTGTGATACACCGAACACAAAGAATGGCATTGAGAACTAACACATTTATATCAATGAAACCTTGACAAGGTGAAAGAGGAATTTGTTATGGCAGAACCGTGCTAAAGAAAAGACCTACAAGTTTGAATGAACCAGGAATGGGAAAATTTTTGTACGCCTAAAAGAGGCTTCTGTTCACATCGAAGACAAAAGAGACTAAGAAAAAATTATGTAAACAGGGAGAGTTCATTTGATTCGATTAAACTCTGGGACTTACACTAGGAAAACTCGAAAGAATGGGCTTGAGAGGACCATTTTATGATTTTTTCCATGACCTCCTCACGGACAGATTGCAATTGGTGAAAATAGAAAATTCTGTTAGTGGTAAAACACAAAGTGAGTGCAGTGTACCTCAAGGAAGCACTTTGGGCCCGTTGCTGTTTAACATTTACATAAATGAGTTAAGCCTACACTACTACACACTACACGCCACTACAGTTTAGAATCTTCTTATATGCAGACGATACAGTTCTACTATTATCATACAATATATAGGAAAACGCAATTTCAATATTTCAAAAGGACGTGGACATGTTATTGCAGTGGTTTTCTGCCAGTATTATTCCAGTAAATAACAACAAAACGAAACGTATGTGTTTCTGTAATCCCCATAAACAGGTATTTATTTAAATTTGAGGCTTGTCAACTCTTGCAAAAGTACAGCATTTCCATACGAACAGTCTGTAAAGTGATTAGGCATATTTTTTACGAACATATTTTATGAAACCATCACATAAAATTTATTTTAAAAAAGTCTTCGCATACTATCAGCTTATCTTCACCGATTAAAGAGCGTTTATGATATAAATGTTAGGAAAACTGTTTGTATGACCTTAGGAGAGTCGATCTTGCGATACTGTATTACTGTTTTCGGTCAGTGTGCAGGAAATAAAAAGCTAGCAATAGACAGATTACTCAAACAGATGGCGAGTAAAGCTGCGTACGGGACCACATATGATAACATAGTAATAGATAGGAAAATGAATGAACTAAATATAATGTATCCTTCTAAACTATATGAACAGGCATTACTACGATAAGAGCTCGAAAATTGAGGTCAAAAAGAGAAATCTGAGGTACACAGAAAGGTACGTAATACCCAGAATATTTACGAACTACGGAAAGAGAATAAAACGGCATTATAGTCCTTCCCTTTTTAATAAATTAACTGATAGTTTCATTAGCATATCATCCATGCGAACGTCAAAGAAAGCTCTTAAAAAGTGGTGTCTAGAATGAAAAACCTGATTTTACATTCTGTTGCTTAGTGTATATTTACTGGGTCAATTCTGTGTTATGCGATTTTGATTTTCATTTATTGCTTATTATAGTATGTTTCTAATGAGGTCGTATGGTAATTAGAATTTGTTAGTATTTCAGTGATCAGTTCGTTTTCATTTGCATGTGGAGAGTAGTTTATTTTGCATGGCGCAAATATTGCTGTGTTTTAAAATTCTGCTTAATTACTTTACTTATAGTGTTACTCGTAATACAGTGTTCTATTCCTTTTATTTGTAAATGTTTTTGGTCTGCCTGGTCCCACGGACAAGCAATCTTCTTTGCTTTTGTGGGTCAGTTACTGTAAGTACTTTTTTAGAGGAATAAAAAAAACTTTACTATTATTATTATTGTTATTATTCTGGTTGTTCCTGGGCACCAAATAAAAGAGTGATTGATTGATTGATGATTGATTGCAAACCAAGTACAGAAAAACGTTAAGTATAACTTTGCATAGGAAAAAAAGTTTTTTTCTTTTTTTTTGCTTATTGTTGTCATTTTGAGATCTCGCGGCAGGACAGAAAAGCGAAGACCTAACAGGCAGGCCGGCTGCCTGGGTCAGAACGGTTTATTCCGGGCACGCGTGGGAGTATATATAGCGCTGCCACGGCCCAATGGCAAAACAGTTAATAAAACAAACAAGCAGTGCATAACAGTATTGTCATGCTTCGGTGACGCTGCCCGAAGTGATAGCGATTCTCCTCTTCTTACAAGTGAAGGCGATCAATGGGTTTCCAAGTCCGGGTGGATCGTCGCAGCTCGAACGGCACACAGCTGTCTTCTGGCTCGCTTGAGGTCGTTGCGTCGCTGTACAACTCGTTCGCAGGGCTCCTGGGTGAGGGTGCAGTTACCACGGAACCGCTGGCGGCGGGTGCCTCGCTGATTTCCGCCTTGACTTCCCGTAGCCGTAGCTGATCGAGATGACGGCGGGCGTCGCCTCCGGGAGTAGAGACCACAGTCATGCGAGCGCCGTGGTCGCTCTCCACCGTCCCGGGCAACCATTTTTCACCTTGCCCGAAGTTCCGGTATCACACGGCAGCATGAGGGCGAATTCTCGGGACCTGCAAGTCAGGCGAGCACACTCGTCTTGACGGCACAGCAGTGTCGACGCGCGAGCGTACTTGGAAACCGAGTAAAGCGCGAGACACATGCGCGAAAAAATCCATTCGATCCGGCGTCCGATCCGGCAGTACGACTGCCTGATCCGAAAAATTAGGTCGCTTCAGACGTCGGATCGACGGCGATTCGAAGTGCGTCCAACGTGCCAGATAGATTCGCACGACGGACGGATTGTCGGAAGCGTCCAGCCAATGACGGCGCAGCCACGAATGTCATGATGACGTACTGGGTCTGGCGGGACGGGCGCCGGGAAGCCGGACGCGTGGATCCCGCTGACCCATTTGAGAAAGGTGGCCCCGGCAAAGAATGCACTCGCTAACGAGAACGAGCTTCTAACTTTGCTCGTGTGAGCTGAACCGTCAATCTGGGACCAGAGATCTGTGAACGTGGACCTGCGCTGGTGCGCTTGGACCTTTTGGGCGGGGAGCCGAACGGATCGTCGTGTCGCATGCAAGGTCGGAAGCGTGTGTCTCAAACTGTCGCTTGCGGCGATTCGGAGTGGCGTTCGGACTGTCGGATTGGACGTCGGATCGGACGATTCTGCCGTTCATGTGTCTCGCGCTTAAGAGTTCGGCCGGTGATTTCCCGTCCGACAGTGGAGTGCGACGGTAAGACAACAATACTTTCGCCAACTTCGTTTTCAAATCCCCGATTGACAACTTTGCTAGGGACTCTTTCACTGTTCTGACCGCCCGCTCTGCCAATCCATTAGATTGTGGGTGATACGGGGCGGTTCGTAAATGCTCCACGTGATTTCTTTCCAGGAACTCGCCAAACTGCTGACTAGTAAACTGAGTCCCGTTGTCGGACACAATCGCACGTGGTAAGCCGAATCGGCTGACATCTCTCTGAGCTTCCTTATGGTGGCTTCAGTGGTGGCAGAGCGCATTGCGCATACTTCGATCCACTTAGTGTGTGAATCCGCCACCACCAGCAGCATTTTGTCTTCGATTGGCCCGGCAAAATCAATGTGGAACCGCGACCAATTTTCTCCCGTTTCTGGCCAGTTAACAGGCGTGCTTGCTGGTGGCATAGGAGTAGCCTGTGTACAGTTGTGACAAAGACGAGCCAGTCGTTCTACCGCACCGTCCAATCCGGGCCACCAAAACAATGTCCGGGCTACCCTTTTCATGGCCGTCGCCCCCTGGTGAGCCTCGTGGAGTAGCTTGAGCATCTCTTTCTGGGCTGCCCCTGGAATGACGACTCACTGTCCCCAGTAAAGCAGGTCCTGGACGACAGTCAACTCCTGCTTTCTGCAAAAATAAGGATGCAGCTCATGCTCTTCTTTGGATAGATTTTTCGGCGTCACGCATTACGAAGCTCTTTACTGCAGTAAGTGTTCTGTCCTTGGCACTGAGCTCTTAGCTGCCGTGCCGGCAGAAACGCTTCATCCATGCACTGTATCGCGAACACGTACTCCGGCAGCTCCTCCTCTCGGCTCTTCTCGGTCTGTGGAAGGGGCAACCGGCTGAGGGCGTCCGCGTTCGCGTTGAGTTTTCCGGGACGAAATTAGATTTTGTACTGGAAGTCACTGAGTAGAAGGACCCACCTTTAAATTCTTCCCGATGCCAGCAGAGGTATCGGCCGGTCCTCTCTCCGCAGACCCAACAGGGGTTGGTGATCGGTAACGAGGACGAACTGTCGACCTAGCACGTAATCCCTGAGCTTGGTCACGGCGAACACCAAGGCTAGTGCCTCTTTCTCCAATTGGGAATAATTTTTTTCCACTGATGTCAGGCTTCGGGAACGGAATGCGATTGGTCGGTCTACAGACCCCAATCGGTGCGACAGCACAGCTCCTACTCCTGTTGGCGAGGCATCGCATTCCAGACGGAGTGGTTTAGCTCGATCAAAAAACGTCAACACCGGAGACTCAGTAGTGTCTTGGCCTTTTCCACGGCGTCTCGTTGTCTCGGTCCCCATTGCCATACCTCATTTTTTCCTAAGAGCTCGCAAAGCGGTGCCAGCAGGGTGGACATATTTGGCAAATACCTGTGATAATACGTCAACAATCCAATAAAGGCACATAGCTCGCTTACGTTCGTAGGGCTTGGGGCCTGCCGGATCTTCTCGATGGGGTGAAGCCCTTCCTGGTCCACTCTGTGGCCCAAGTAGCAAATTTCACTTTTCCTAAAAGTACACTTCGACTGCCGCAGCCGCACACCCATGTCTTGAAATCGTTGCAACACAGCCCTCAGATTTTCAGTTCCTGGCTGCTCAGCCACCAACACGTCATCCAAGTACACCTGCACTCCTGGCAGGCCGGCCAGCATGGTTTCCATTTTTCTCTGAAAAATGGCTGAAGCTGATGCAACCCCGAACGGCAACCGGTTGTAACGAAAGAGACCGCGATGTGTATTAATCACCGTCAGTTTTTTGGAATTCTCGTCCAACGGTACCTGGTTATACGCGTCTCGCAGGTCTAACGTACTGTACACGGCCCCACCACGCATCGACGCAAAAATGTCCGCTATGCTTGGCAGAGGGTACTGTTCAGTAGCACAGGCAGCATTCACAGTCAATTAAAAATCTCCGCAAATTCTAATGGATCCATCACTTTTCCGCATAGAACGATCGGCGCCGCCCATTCTAAATGTGTTATCGGGGACAAAACTCCCGTTTGAACAAGGCGGTTTTACTCCTCACAAACCTTATCCCTTAGAGCGCAAGAAACGGGTCTTTCCTTCATGAATTTCGGACGAGCTCCTTCCTTCAGGTAGAGATGCACAGGGGGCCCTTCGATGGCTCCTAGACTGGCTCGAACAGGTCATGGAAGTCGCTCAGCAGGGATTCCAATTCCTGGTGGTCTCGGTGAGCAGAAACAGAGGCCACTTCTGCGCCAAGCAAGTTCAACTTGTTGATTACATCCCGGCCACAAAGGCTGGGTCCGAGGCAATCCAACACCACCAGGTTTGCAGGAACCGTGCGGCCCTGGAAAGCAACGTCCAGATGCAGCTCTCCTAAGGTGGGCAATTTTTCCGAGATAACAATTCAGTCTCAGTTCGCTTTTTGCAAGGCTAGGCCATTGGTTTCGGCCCTGAAGGTACACGTTCCGAGGAACGACGCAGACAAGAGAGCCAGTGTCTATTTCCATGCTGATGTCAATGCCTCCCCAGCAAAGCTTCTTCCTGACGGGTTGAACCAAACTGACCGTTGCAGCTTGCGACTTGATTGCATAAACCGACGGAATACACAAGTCATCATCTTCTGCTGAAGCGTCCGCCAACAACGATGACATCTCTTCCTTATCAAGTTTCCCGCTTCGCTCCCGATACCCCGCAGCTCGACACTTTCTGGCTAGGTGGCCTTGCTTTCCACAGCGAAAACACGTTTTAGTTTTGTGGCCGCAGTTTTCCCCGGTGTGTGATGAACTTCCACTGCGACAACATGTAGCTACCGAAAGGTGCTTCTCCCGCCCGTATACATTTCTTGACGGCTGTTTCACCATTCTGTGTATGCTTCCTTCCTTCATTTCTGGTCTTTGCATTTGTCCTACTTCGGAATCAGCTGCCTCGGCTGCGGCTGCTACTTCTTCCGCCTCATTCAACGTAAGGTCCCGCCGCGACAGCAACCTCCGCTGGACGTCTCTACTTCTCACACCGCACACAATTCTATCCCGTAGCATCCGGTCAAGGCTCATGCCAAAGTTGCAGTTTTCAGCAAGTTTGCGGGTCTGTACAACAAACTCTCGTACGCTCTCCGTTTGCTGTTACACGCGGTTGAAAAATTTATAGCTCTCGGCTATTTCATTGCGCTTAAGCGCGTAGTGCTGCTCTAGGAATTCCACTGCTTCTTCATACGATAACTCGTTCACCTTTCGCGGGGCACAGCTACCACTTAAGACTTCTATCGTATGCGTTCCGAGTGCCGAAACTAACAGCGCTCTCTTGGTCTTCCCACTGGCAATAGCATTTCCCTCGAAGTATGCTTCAACGCGTACGATGTAGGACTCCCACTTATCTCTGCTGTCGTCGAAGCCAGGAACTTGAAAGCTGGTCGGCGTTGCCATTGCCCCCGTCTCGGATCTTGAGCAGCCCTTGCTTCCTGCCCGGCGGAGTTCGTCGCCTCGTCGCCACTGTTGTCACTTTGTCATCTCGCGGTAGGACAGAACCGCGAAGACCAAACAGGCAGGCCGCCTACCAGGGTAAGAGCGGTTTATTCCGGGCACGCGTGGAAGTATATATAGCGCTGCCACGGGCCAATGGCAAAACAGTTAATAAAACAA